TTGATGCGTTAAAAGCCAAATGGCAGATTAAAATGGATGAGATAGCTTACTCTTCCCTGTGGATGATACCTTTGGTAGTAAGTAAAAAAGGAGGCAGGTAACTTTAAAATAACCCCAACAAGAGTAATTTGAAGTAACATAGCAGAACCTTAAGAAAAGCTGCATTATTTTGGACATATGTCTGGGCTAATCTACAAGTTAGAAGTATTTCAGTGTTTTTAATCTTCCTTCCTGAGGAAGCAATTAAAAACAAGCAGCTGGGCAATATCCCCACAGCAGACAACTTCAGAGTTACTCAAACAGCAATTTTTCTGAATTGACTACAATGTCACACAAATTCCACCATTCACAGAATCACAGAATCATAGAATAGTTGCCACAAGAAGGAACAATACATTGAAATGGAGAGCAGCTCTAATTTGGTTGAGGGGTTTTTTTCACTATACAGACAGAAATGAACTTTTGAACTGCAATGAAGTAGATAGACAGATAAAAACAGTTAAAAATGCAGTAGTTGTATTGCTGTTAGAATTGAAATACATGGATATAATGAAGATAGCAAGAGAGAGCTGTCTCCTGCTGGTAAGGTAAGGCTCTCTCTCAACTACATTTGGCTTAACTGAGTTCTGCTATACCAGGCATAGAACAATCAGTGAATGTTATGCTCTTCTAGAGAGGGAGCGAAGATGAGACAGAAGAATAACTCTTTGCGTGCAAAAAAGAATGAAAACATTCCAGTTTGATCACTTCCAGGTTTTAATTTATATGTGCACTTTAAATGCATTATTATCTTATTTTCTTTATCCAAAACAGACATTATGAGAACATTTAGCAAACATGCACACTGTATGCTTTAACATAGCAACTAATACAAGTTACGGGTAAAATCATGCGTCTTCTGAAGCCACAGAATTTACACGCAGTTCAATTTGCACTAGGATTTTATTTCCAAGCCTTTGTAAAAATGAGTTAGTGAGAACAGAGCCCACCTGACAGATTACCAAAAAGTTTTAACCTTCAGGAGCTGCACAAATCCCTGTTATCTGCTATAAGAGAAATATAAAAATACCCCAGATGATCCCAATATCACAACTGTCATCAAAGCATTAGCACCTCAAGATTTAGAGTCCCAAACAGATGCCTTCACATTCTAAATAACTGACTTGAAGAGGAGTAGTTTCATTAGGATACAAACGGCTTTGAACATTATCCCTAGCCTCTGAGTCCAAAATTATGGCACCTAAAACTGGCATAGATTTTTGGCTGCTGATGAAAGGAGCAGTTCTACAGATCTGTCATTCCTGACTGCTTCCTGGCACTTCCCTTGGGCCAGCATCAGATACGTGAGTTGGATTCAAGGTTCTGCCACAGCTCACCTCTAAATCTCAGAGCTGTTGAGCTTCCAAAGCTCTCACAGACTTCAGCTGGCAGACTGGATGCTGAAAGCTTTGAAAGGGATTTCAGTACCCAGAGTCTCTATCTGCACCAGAATTGTTCCCCCTCTCCATATGGGTAAGACAAAGATAAAATCATTAATGTTTGGATAAGGGCAAGTACTAACAGCTGTGCTGTTGGAGATGCTGTCAAACACTGAGGACACCCATGTGATTGCCTGAGGTAAACCTGGAAGAAAATCATCCAGGAGCTTTGGTAGTTAAACTACCAGTTAAATACTGACAAACTGGTGAAACTATAAACTGTTTTGTTACCAACACTGTTGATCTTAGCAAATATATAAAATTCAAATATCTTTCAATACTGTGATGAAGATAGCCTTCTGTCAGAGGAAGCTGATGCCTTATATCAGTTAACTAACATGCTGTGAGGAGTCTGAATTAGTTTTGCCCATTTCACCTTTGCATTCACATGCTTACTTCATCTTCTGCACCCTTCTCACCATCAACTGCACCATCTTACTTTTGCATCAGACACTAGCTGCAGCAGTGATCGATCCATCCAGTTCTATTTATGTTACAGTCTAATTACCAGATGTGTTTGTGCTGTATCAGAAGAAAAGTTTTGTGAATGCTGTAATCTGTAAGGTAACACTGCTCTTTGACAAACAAGCTGCTGGTGCTTCGTTTCAAACACTGCTGCATAAAAGCTTCCTTCCTTTCCTATGGTTGCCATAACAACAAGCAGAGCGCTGTCATTTAGTTAAGTGATGACAATGACAAATATGTAAGAAATGCAAAGGTCTGGGGAACTGGGAGCAAGATTAGAGCTTCTCTTCCTGCCTTTACAAAACATTTTACTATGGATTAATCTTGCAAGTCCTAAGCCGTTCCTATGGGAACATGAGAAAGTGCTCTGCGTTGCCTCATTTTTCAGAAAGTAAGTGTTCTGCTTGTGGATGCTTTGTCAGGACATAGCACAGCATTAGTAATCAGGAGTACAAGATATGATCTTGAACTCAAAAATGCCTCCAAAATCTGGAATGAATCCTAATTTTACAGTGTAGAAGTGATAATGCTGTCAGACCTTTGTCTCTTCAGTAGGTAAGAAGGGGTTGCAGAGAAGATGCCATTTTACTGAATGAATAAAATGGACATGTGACTCAAACCACGACAGTCAGGAAATTATTATCTGAATAATACTTCTGTAACCATGAGAATGGAAAGTATTTTCTTCTTAATTGAATAAAGAACAACACCTAGGACACCAACCAGAAAAATGAAGACTGGCATTCTTACTATTTCATTGTGACAGCTGTTTTTTCAGGTGATTTTCTTTTGGGATCACTCAACCTCTGATTTAAGAGAATTAGTGTTACTTGATTTTTCCAGATTGGGAGAAAGGTGGTCTTAGTGTACATAGCCAAACATCATTTTCCTTTTTATGCACTTTCAAAAGGTAAGTATTGTCTTTTCTTGCTTGCTACTTAGAACAGTTACATTTTCTCACTGTTTGTTGCATCTATTAATCAAGGTTTACTCTAAATGCACAGAAAACAAGTCATCCATCACGCTTACAACTTTCTCCTAAAACCATTACATGCACATTGGCTGCTCCATGACTCCAGTGTGAGCATGACCCTGTTCCCAGCTAGACACTGTTAGTCATACCCTTCCTTGATGTAAGTACATACTGCATTTCTAGTCATCCTGTACTCCTGCCTCCTTTACAGCTTGGTACAGCATCTGCAGTGCTCCTGGCATCTGCTAGTTCAAGAGAAAAATAGACTTGTTGAGCTAATCACCTCTCCTGCAGGATCTTCAGTTGCCTTATTTCACTGCTTTCATAAGTTTCCCTGATGTCTGTATATCCCAATACACCTACCTTAACAGTTTAGGGCTTTAAGGGAGTTTCCATATTTGTCTTGGGGGTTTTATGTCAATATAGAGGAGAAACAAGAGAACAGAACTTCATCTAACAAAATAATCCACAAACTGTGAAGAAAGCACATTTATTAGCAACCATTAATATTTATTTACTATGTCAACTATGATCCTCTTTTCTGAAAACTGAGATATTTAAAGATAAATGAGGTGTGGTGGGTTGACCCTGGCTGGACACCAGGTGTCCACCAAAGCTGCTCTATCATTCCCCCTCCTCAGTTGGACAGGGGAGAGAAAATATGACGACAGGCTCATGGTTTGAGATAAAGACAGGGAGAGATCATTCACCAATTACCATCATGGGCAAAACAGACTTGACTTGGGGCAAAAATCTGATTTATTACCAATCAAATCAGAGTTGGATAATGAGAAACAAAACCAAATCTTACAACATCTTCTCCCTGCCCCTCCCTTCTTCAGAGGCTTAATTTTAGTCTAGTTTTCGCTACTTCCTCCCCGCCAGCGATGCAGGGGGACAGGGAATGGAGGCTTGATCGGTTCATCACACATCATCTCTGAGCTCCTTCCTCCTCAGGGGAGGACTCCTCACACTCTCACCCTGTTCTAGCATGGGGTTCCTCCCTCCACAGCAACTTTTCACCCTTAAATGTGTTATCCCAGAGGCTCTACTACCATCGCCAATGGGCTTGGCCTTGGCCAGCAGTGCACCCATCTCGGAGCCACCGTCATTGGCTCCATTAGATTCAGGGGAAGCTTCAAGGAGCTTCTCACAGAAGCCACTCCTGTAGCTCCCTCACTACCAAAACCTCACCACACAAACCAAATACATGAGTTTTTTTGTTTTTTTTTTTTTTTAAAAAAAAAAGAGAAGGAAAAAAAAGAAGACAAAGATTAAAAATCATAGCTACTTCCTTAAACAGGCATTTCCTGTGACACATCACCTGTTTTAGGGCAGAACTCTCCCGGAATTGCAATGGAGCTGGTAAGCCACATAAGGACATACCCCAATATTAAGAGGAAAAAACCTATTGCTACAGAATTTAATGACAGCCCAACACCCACCTGTATCTTAAACTATCTAAAACACCATTAACAAAAATCGATCCCAAGTGTTTAATGGAATCAAACAAGGTTTATGCAAAGGATTTGGCTGTAGTAATTAATCTGTCCATATGAAGTAACTATTTTCACTTGTTAAAAAAACAAAAAACATAGCAAGCATATAGTTGCATGACAATGCGAAAGAGAAAGTAGTTACTGGTGAGATGGACAGAGTATCCCAGTATGTATGATCACAAGTTTCCCTAAATGCGACAAACATTACTGCTTCTCTAGATGACTAGGTTTCCACTACAGAACTTTGGGCATTCAAATAAATTAGTCAGATTAAATGTCTAGACATACGATATCCCATGTTCCCCAGAGAGAACTGTGATACATTCTGGAGGTGACATCTAGCATGTAACACTAAGTTTTTTATTATTTAGTAATCACTTACTGAATTCAGCACAAGCTGTGAGATTTATACTTCCTTGGAACCTTCCAAGACCCAAAATCCAAGTAATTCCACAGTGACCTTGACATAATAGAAAACAAGAATTCTATATACAAACATAAACCCCATCAAGACAGGTAGACATAGTTCACAGGATCACACACCTGCAAAGAGTAACCACAGAGAGTTTAAATGATTCTTCTTACCTGCTGCTGCTTCAGGACTGACACTATCATTAACTATGGAAGTTGGACTTAGGGGCAAAACATCATCATCAAAACTGATCAGATCTCCTTCCACATCTGGTTTATTTTGCAAAGCAGGTTCTGAGAAGTTGGCTGCAGATGACAGTTCCCCCAGAGACTTGAAACCTTTGTCTTGGGCAGATACGGAAGCCCGTGGGGGAGCAGCAATTGGCTTCAGTGAGGCCAAAGAAAGGGCAGGATTTTCTGCATAACATGACTTTTTAGGAACAAGAGGCCTTGGAGCAGGAACAGGATATTTCTTTTGTCCATCACTGTTCTCTGCAACTGATCCACTCCTTGCATCAAGAAAATCACTACTACTACTTTTAACGAGGCCAGGTTTTGGCTTCTTTGGCAGTTCAGGTTTGGCTACAACACTGCTTGCAACTACTTCAGGTTGAGGCTGCAGTTCCTTGGAAGGTGTTGATTTGCTTTCTGTCCATGCATCCCAGTCTCCTGAAATTCTGTTTACCCCTGGCTTTGGAGCGACTACTGGCTTCTTTGCAGTAACAGGTCTTGGGGCAAACAAACGAGGGGCGATTTCTGGCTTTTTTGTTAATCCTGAGGTATCATTAGTTCCTTGGGATTCAAAAACTTTGATCCTTGAAACAATGCTATTTTGGCTCTTTTCTGTACTCATGCTGTCCATTACCAAGTGATTGTCTAGTAAGTTATCATCTAAGACAGGTGACTGAATTGGAGGTTGCTGCCTTTTTGTGGTAGACTGGTTCACTTCCTCTCCATTGTCATTCTCACTTTCCGTATTTTTGACCAGAGGTCTGAGATTGCTTCTTGATCTTGGCTTTGGCACAGGACATATCACAGCACTGGGATTTTCTTGGCACCTCTGACCTTCAGAAATTTCAAAGACTATTAAGGGATTCTCATTTTCTGAAGGAGGCCTGTGCAGGAGAGATGCAGAAGGCCTAGGAGGCTTAAGAGGACTCTGCCCTGTTAACATAAAAGAAAAGATTTCAGTTATCTATTCCAGAACACTTTACTTACGTTATTGTCTGTCAGCCTTCAGGGTGGTAAACATGATCATTTTCATTCAGAACTTACTGCTGCTTGTGAAACTGCAGTTCACTTTTCTATAAAGATTGATGACAAAATAGGCAAACTCTAGGAAGAAGCTGGAGGTTGCTGCAATGCGTGGTACCTACATGTTGTGAGTTCAAAATTACTTGTTAGCTTGCAGCATGAGGGACATGCCAGCAAAACTAGACCAAAAAACAGTATAGTAGCTTCCTCAGCTTGGTTTGCAAGCTTTGCAGTCTGAATGTGTAACACTGCTGGTATTCTGATCGGACACCTGAGCTCCTCTGGCTGTAAAGCAATTGCCATTGTGGCTGAATCGAGCAAAACTTCCCAGATTTAATTACAGTCTCACCATGAATGCAGTGGTAGTTCTTCAGCAGAGAGGATTTTAACAGAAATTTAAAGCAGTAAGTCTTCACAGAAATTTAACTGCTATTCATAGTAAATGCTGCACAGACCAGTAATAAAGAACATCTTCAGGTGACAGTCATATTTTTATCAGTGAGAAATTCAAAACAGCCTCACCTGGATAGCCTGCAGATTCCCAGTGTGTAGGCACACTAGTTCTTACATTACTTCCTGGCAAATGGCTGATTAGTTCCTCTGGAAAGTCAGTTTGTGTTGCAGAAGTAGTGGTATGTCTAGGAGCAGCAGCATTATTGTTATTTGTTGTATTGACTTGCACTTGACTGATTTCTTTTATCACCTGCTCATATGATGGTGGAAGCTACAAAACAGAGATATTAATATTAATGTACATCCAGATGTGATCCTTTAAGAAACTGAACTAACATGCAGAGGAAAAGAACACTGTCATAGTTTTTTATGCAATGTGATGAAAATCCAAGCAAGTGAAACCACTGTTCTCTAACTTACTGTGCTTTTTACCTTTGTAAATCAAAGACGCCTCATGTAAGCTCACCTCAGCTGGAATATGCTCGTTTCTCCTCCACTGAGCATGAGATGAAGCAGAAGGGAATCCTAATCCCTGAGGAGTGACAGGGCTTGCACCTGGAAACCAGGAGGATGACCGGAGGGGTTCAGCAGCAACTATTGTAATTTCAGGACGCCTAGAAACGAAGGCAAAGGAGAATAATTACCTAAAACATTTTAAAACAGTTCTTTTAAGTATAATGGACCAAGGACTTCTCAGCATGAGAAATCAAAATAGCTTAGGTCTTTTTGATTTAACCAAAGATGTTTTTTCATGTTTTCAAAGTAATTTACCTGACCTTTCTAACAAGCACTTAGGCTTCCATTCAAAGCATCTAATTAAATGCCTAAGCCAAAAAGTAGGTTTATTGGCTTTGGTGAAATAATTTACATGCTTAAAGTACTTAAACACAAGTGTAACTCAATTAGATGGAAGAAGTCTTAGTCTTCATGGGATAATGAGAACTAATCATGTGTTTGCCCTTAGCCTGCTACAGCATGAAAGCAGTAGGATAGTTAAAGCTGCTTCTGGATAGCTACCTAAAAGCTTGTCTATTCTCAGACCTCTGGGGAAACCTCCCACTGTTGAGCAAGCCCCATAAGGCCTTTGGGACAGGACCTATTTGCTTAAAGCATCTAGTACAACAAGGACCTGTAGGTAGTACCCCTGTTTTATCACCATAACAACAGCTTATGCTGTTATCGCAGTCATGCAGCGATGGCCCACGTTCCCGGACCATGGCCACCAGAGCACCACTGTTCAATCTAGAGTCTCACACAAAATACACTTTGAGAAGTGAGTTTTGGGGGTAGATGAAGCATTTGCTACAGAAGTTCCTGTCTGCAGACAGAAAAAACCCCTGCAGAAGCACAACTTCTTGAACTATTGTAAAAAGACTTAAATTTAAGCTCTCTTTTGAGGGCTAGAGTTTCTTCACACCTGAAGTACTGAGAGACTCAGTTCACCAGCTATCCAGGTTGGTGACCTCCTTTCTCAATACCCTTTGAGAAACTGGAAGGAGGTCTGAAAGTGTGCTTATTTTCATTGTGAAGTGGTCCTGTAAATAGGTGTCAGGAAAGTAAAACGGTTCTGAAGAGGTTTGATGGTTGGTTGCATTCTTTTTTTGAGGACACATGCAAAAGTTGATGAGAAAACTCATCAAACTCTTAATGTACCCTGTGCTTAAGAATCACATTATTTTTATTTTATTCCAAGTTTAATTTAGTTTTAAACACACCAACGACAGAGAGAAAAAAAAACCCACCAAAAACTAAAGAATAGAGCCATAAGAAGTAATGCTGTGACATAATCTAACAGGTCTTACAGTAACAATAGTTGCAGTGTAAGTAACAGCATCATACCTTCTATCCCTCTGTTGTTCGCTATGGCTAGAGGTCCGAGAAGCTATTTAAATGAAACAGAAGTTTGGAAGAGGTTAAAATATACTGTCATAACAATAAGATGAAGATAATAGCAGAGCCCTTGCTAATCCACTATCAATGAAATGGAGAACACACAACAACTGATCAGAAATTCCAGATTTTAGGAGTGGCCATGTTTTGTTTGGTTTTTTTTTTTTTTTTTAATTATCTGTCATAAATATGAGAAGTTTTGAAAAGGTTTAGGGTGAAGTTTCATAACCATGTTTAAGTCACTTTATGTCCAAGTTGACACCTGTAGAGGTGATCTTATCCCCTTTCCTCTTCCTTGCCGTATGTTCTTGCATTCTGCATTGTGGTGACCTTAGGGCTGAAACTTCTTTTTCTTTAGTTACAACAGTCCATGAATAAAACAAACAAAAAAAAGTGTTAAACATGTCTGGCTTTGCTTTTGATGTCTGGTTTCCAAGATCTGTTCTTTAACCTGTTTTTAATGTCTCTTTTTGTTTGTTTTAGAGAAGGGAAAAGTACTAAGGCACAAAAACTATTTCACCTTTATGTAAAAAGAAAAAATTGAATGTTCTCAGCTACGAATTTCCTAAAGTTTTATCTCTTGTAGATTAAAAGTCAGCAACATTTCTTTTTCTTTTTTTTTTTCTAAACCATGTAATTTAAATTCCACAAACTAAGTGAATCCTGACCTCTTCATTTTTGTAGTTTTGTCATATTTCATTCAAATATTTTTTTCAATGGCCACATTATATTTTTATTTTGATTTCTTCAGAGAGAAAAGGAAATTACCCAAGAGACAAATTTTTGCATAGGAAGTGCAATTTAGGAAGTGGTAGAGTCTTGTTGTGCAAAAGCCGAAACTATGCTGTTCCTGTGCCATCGCAGAATCATTAGCTGAAATCAGCATAATATACTTGATTCAAGAGTCGCATAGTGTTGTATCAGACATACCTCTTCCACAGGGCATTTTTGATGTGCACTATTCATGAGTGCTAGAGGAAAAAAAGAAGGGGTTACAGATGAGGAAGAAGAGGTGAGGAGAACAAACCAAGGCCAGAAACCGTGATCAGATGGGTTAGTCATGCAAGTGCAGTGCACGTGCCAGTGTTGGAAGAGAACAACTCTAATGTCTATTCACAATATAGTGCCTTAAAAAAGCTAAAATAAAAGCAGAAATTAGTTCTAGTCTCATGCTGTTTTTAACAATGGCTGCTTAGAATTTTGCCTTACAATAAATTAACCATGAAGAATATAACCGAATATGGAAATGCCCACCATATGGCTCTACAAAGACCCATTCTAAGAATGAGGAGAGGGAAATCACATCCCTTTGAATGTTTTATTTAGTTTTAAAAAAATCATGGTTTATTTGGGTTTGTGCTTTTTCCCTTCCAAATATAATTGGTTGCCCTAAGGAGTTAAGACAGATGCAGAGAAGCTAGGATCCCATAATTTATACTCCTACGTATCAAAGAGGTATAGGCAGGCAGGTTGATCCCAATAAGAGGCACACCTTACAGTTTCAGATATGACTGCACATTCCTAAACCGGTTCTGTACAAACTGCCTAAAATATGTAAATGAAAATCCCCTACACAACACCTTAACTTTCTTCTTCAGAGATCTTAACACATCACTGATCAAATACAAACATTAAAGAAAACCAAAATCAACCAACCAAACACCAAACTGACTCAACCCAAGCTATTTCAATATTACTTTTGGAAAGAGGATGGAAGGAAGTTCATTTGGTAAATGTATTCAATACAGCTGCTTGGGGATTAGTTAAATTACAATGATAAGGCCATTAGAAATAAAAGCTAATTAATACAGATGGAAAACTGATTTGATAAACTGGACAATTTCTTTAATTCTTTTTTCATTTCCAGATAAATTCTGTATGCTGTTTTCTCCTACGAGAGTCTAAATGTACTTCTATTTACAAAAGTTATTAAAACAAATAAGAACAAACTAAAAAAGTCTGAAAGATCTTTCTCTGTCCTTATCATAGGCAGAAAAACTCCAGTGAGGCATCTATGTAATACACCAAACTCCATATTTCAAGCAAACAATTAAACTCACTTGAAAACAACTGATTTAAAATATTTATATATAAATAACTTTACTCGTAGATATAAATACATCTCTTCTAAAGGGCTAACATCCAACCCATCATAAATGTTTTCAGAATGTGCTCATTCTGTTATAAAAAAAACCCCAAAAAACAAACAACTAATCTCCCAGGCATTTATGGAATAAAGCTACTTCAATGTACATAAATATTTAATATAAACATTTATTTTTTTAAGGACCTTTACAAAGTGTTTTCCTCCTTCCATCAACTGCTCCCCTCTTTTGCTGTCATACTTTTTGCTACAACCACACTTTTAGAACATTTTGTTTTGGAAGCTCTTAAATCCACAGTAGGAGCAGAGGGGAAAGCTACTTCATCTTCTGCTCTCATGCATTCATGTGGAGTTCCAACAAATGCTATTGAAAAGAAAATATAAACTTTCTAAAAAATGCTTGCCCCCAGACTTGCACAGCTTTTATTCCTTTACCATTTCAAAGAAATGAATTTAAATTAAAAAGTGTATGAGAGAAGACATGAATTCTTAAAACACAGCACACACCTGATTTAAAAACAAAAGAAAAAACCTGCAGCCATTTTTCTGCCCCTGTGGTCTTTTGATCCTGTGTGTTCTGCCTTCCCTTTGTGGATTGCCTTGAAGAAGTTTGCTATTAATTTTCCCCTCAGAATTCAAATTATGCCAACTTTAAGATTTCTAAAACCTTTCTTCCACCAGGGGAGTCAATGGAAATGTATTCCAGTGCTGGTTTACATACTGACGACTGTTGTTACCTCCTCAACTTCCACACTAATAAGTGCTCAGGGTGAGGACAGCTGACATTTGCAGAAGCATACGCTTAGTGGTATTTAAGTAAAAGGTAAGCAAAACAGCTAAAGAATGGGTGGGAGAAAAAAAATGCAGTGCATAAAATCAACACTATTTCATCTTACAACTTTATCTCAGGGGAAAGGAAAAAAATTATCAAATCAACTTACTCATAACACTATCTCCATTAGCATAAATGAGGCATCTAAATGTGTTTAACCTAGTATAGTGGAATTTAAGCAAGTAAAGGACAATGGTATTACTGTATATAGAGAATAAATGAGTGACTTATAGATTAATTTTTTTCACATATTTCTTACATGCACTATTTAATGGGCTTTATCCAATTATTTCTGAATGTGCAGTGGTAAAGGGTACTCAGTTTGTGCTGTATACTTACGCTTCAAATGTTTTTCCTCCACTGCTTCTTCTATGGATTCTACTTTTCAAGTGCACTTAATATGTCATTTGTATTTGAAACACATACAGATTATGGTGCAGGGGGCATTTTAAGCTATGAGATCAAGATGCCTGTATAAGTACAACCACCATTATACCACAAACCCATGAATTATGATGCTACAGACAAACAGGTGACAACAGAAGTCTGACATGCACTTCTGGATCTTTGGAAGAGAACAGGGCAAGAATTTACACTCATTCAGGCAAGCTTTTAAGGCAATATAGAAGCAACTATAAAGTTCATTCAGGGATCTGTTCAGAGATCCCACCCTGCTGTTAGCACTGAGCGCTTCTACAATGCAGACACTGAATAACAGTATTCATATGTTTCCATTAGGAAATCTGTATGAAATACTGAATGATTTTTTCATTACAAAGTGTTTTAAAAGCAAGTTTCATTTTGTATTCAAGATTGGAACCACAGCCTCAAACAGATCAAGCCCTGTGGGAAATCAAGCTCCACATTTTTATGATTATTTTTATTTATTGTCCCTTCCAGCAGGGGTGAATAAACACAATTCTGCCAATTAACTATTTCACTTAATTCATGGTGACTATTATTAATAGTTTTAAAAGTAATTATATTATTTTCAGCAACAAGAATGTGTGCTAATATTTAAAACCACAGCTTCTTTCAATGCTTTTCTAACACCGGGCTAGATATTTCAACCACCAATTCTATTAAATACATAGACTATTAGACTGAGAAGTTATTCTTCTCACCATACAGTTGCCGATGAAAAAGGTTATTCATTATACTACCTCAAGGAGAGCCTCAAAAGTGATCAAATGCTTCCTACAACGTAATACAGCAGAAGAGCTGACAGAATCATTGTTTTCAAGAGGCTTGCAGACTTTGCAATACAAAAGATGTTACATAGCTGTGGAGGCCCTTCTTCAGGGAACACTAAACAGATCAGGTAATTCTCAAGCCAAAACCAGAAAAAGTATGATTTCACCTAAGATATGATTTGACTATTTCTATAGAAGCAGAGGTTCAAACTCATTGGAAATTATTTCTAGAGTTGGAGCTTTTCTCCTGAACTACTTCTTGGCACAAGGGGGAGGTCTTGCTCTTTTTCTTCTATTTCTGTTTCCAGACACCTCAGGGAAACATTAGGTTGCCTGACATTAGAGCTGGGCTGATTTAATGCTTGAATGTAGCTAAAAGAGATGGCGATGCTCAATTCCCTTTCCAAACATGGACTTTTGTCCCCTCTTGAACTAACAGTAGCACTCCTATGACCCCACTGTGAGTTCAGAGTGTTAAATTAAAAAAAAAACCCAGCACTTTCTGTACAGTTTTTGTCCTTTTTATTTCCCTGAACCTGCTCACCTTGGGCTCAGATCACTAGCAGCACAGGGGAAGGGATATGACATGCCCAGCAGCAGTCTCTGTTTCCTGCCTCTGTTTCCCATCTCCAGTTCTTCTTTGCACAACTTAAGTGAGGGAACTGATCAAAAATATCCTAGGAGGGTGACAGGGATTCCCCTTCCCACCCCCAGTGAGGTCAAATACCCTTTTCACAGCTGACTGAACTGCTGAGCATCACAGAGGCAGGCAATGACTGTAGTTTCACTCAAATTTGACAATAATGATTTATGAAGGCACTTCACTCCTTCCTACACCTCTCCTTGGGCTGTATGTTCCTGCCTCTGCACCATTCCCAGAATTATGCCAGCACAAATGTTTGTGCAGATGGGGAGCGAATGAGGTCATGGAAATGATCTGGTTGGGAAAAAGCAGGAGCCAAAAGAATCTAGGAAGCCCCCAAGCAAAACAGAATAAAAATGAAAAACAAACAAAACCCACAGCCAAAAATGGCTGCAATACTGCCAAATGGGAAACCACAATTTCAGAGTGCATACAAGCTGTTACACATCCTTCATTCAGCCACATATTTGCTTAGGACAGAGTGAGAATGGAACAAGCTTGAAGGTTCCTTCAGCATTTTAGGGCTTCAGACTTGCTTCTGTGGTCCTGTTCCTTAACACTATCTTATTCTGGAAGAGCAGAGAAGTGAGCGAAAACATTGTTCCCCTTTGACTCACTACTGCAGCTCTTGGCTTGCCTCTATTTACTTTCCTTGGCACTCCCGTGCACGTTGCTACACTGGTGTCAATGGAAATACTTTCACTGACTTCAGTGGCAGCTGGATTTAGTGGTGTGTCCTGGCCTAAAACCACTATAAAAAATCCAGAGTAATTTATGAAAAGTTGAGATTAAAAAATTATTTACAAGCACACTTCATGTTCACATGCTTGCTTTCTCCAAGCAACAGGGCTCACTTTTCTGAATTCTGAGCTGTCAAACAACTGAAACAAAATGGTATTGCCTTCCTATCTAGAATTGTAGTCAGAGACTAAACATTCTTCCTTTTTGGACGCAAGGCAGGGAGAGACTTCTTGACACAAAGTCATCTAAAGCATGGTGAACTGGTTGGAAAGCTGAAACCTGGCACACACCTATCATGTTTACTGAAAATCACAGATCAACAGCCCACGTAAACTGCGAGTAAGAAATTAAAATAGATTTGTAACTCTGTTAGGGGAAATACACTATTTCCAGAGGATACCACACTTTTTCCAGATTAATGACAAGGGGAGGTAGCTATTATTCAGGGTCCATTTTTAATTTAGGTTCATCCACAGGTACAGTTACTGGGATACAAAGAACTGTGATTCCACATGCAATGCATTGGTATGTGCATGGGAATTTTTTCCTATCTTATAATCTGAATAATTCACATGGTACTTGTATTTCATCATAGTCGTTTGCATATTAATATTATTAAGTAGAATGTTATAGGAGCCAGGGCTTCTTGACAAGATTTTTTTTTTTTAATTTATTTTGCCTTAAAATGAAGTATCACTTGCAACTATGTGTTCAAACACAGAGGTATCAATTGCATAATGATCTTTCAGAAGGTTTCCCAGTTAGATGAGATACTGGGGCTTAGGTACTCTGAATCAGTTTCTCACTGCACCACAAAAGGCCCTCTGTGGTCTGGTGCTCACTGTTTTCCGGTTTCCTATCTATGGCAGCAACTGTAAAGATAAAATGCTGCATTTTAACTACAGCATCATGTAGACTTGCTTTGAATAAAGCTTTCATGATCCCCTTTGACTACTTCCAACCTAACCCATACTAATGAGCCCCTGACTAATAGGTCCAGGAGAAACAAGTCAATAGTACATCCACTTATTTGCTTTTTCCTATAGCAGAATCCTGAGGGTTGTTCCATTAATTGGAAATTGAAATCATCTATAGAAAGGAAATAAAAATGAAAAGAAGATGAGAGAAATAGCATAAAAGACTTCAGAAGATTAAGTTAATGAAAATATCTGCCTAGAAATATCACAAGCAGAGGAAGGGAAAGAGGAGTTAAACGATGAAGTCAGGGAAGAAGAGTTTGGACTTTCATTCAAGAATTATAAACAATTTTTTATTTTCCAACAAGAGCACAATGCATGAATCTAATCCTGTCCCCAGTTGCTGTGGATTTCTGCTAAAATAGAACAATCTTCTGTTTTGTAGAGTAAACTAAAAATTGGGCATGTGTAATCTGAGTTCTTCAGAGATGGATCACATCTGTGCACAAATACACTAGTGATAAATAAGAACATATTAGTAACTGGCAAGAAGGAACAGCTCATCAGCAAAACAGAAAGATGGTCTAATGTGAAGCAGAAGAGTAAGGAAGAAATTACAACCCCCAAAAGCCTGCTAGCTACTTTGTTTTCTCATACAAAGTTAACCAGTTACTAAAAACAAAGATGTAGCAATCTTACAATACTACAGTTCTAAAAAAAAAATAAATAGGAAAAGTAGACTTACATCTCTTGATCGCTGCTCTTATGGATGACAAGGGTCCTTGGCTTAATGAACAACAACAAAAAAATACGACATGGTTAATATCTCAAAGAGAAAACAAGTAAGCAACATGCAGAAATTCCCCATCTATTGTAAAGCGTTTGCCAAATGCATTTTCCCCTAGGTTGTTATCTAACAGAAACTTGCCCCAAACTCCTACAGTATGCAACTATACCTAACCTGTTCTAATGAAAAGCAGGTTACAGCTTAGCTGCAAGACTCTGCAAAGAGAGAAAGCCAATTACTAAACCCATTTTTAAATCTCAGCTCTGTGCTGAAGTTCACATTCTGTCTCATCTGTCAGAAAAGCCTGGAGAAGAGCCCATGAGGCTGTGCATACTCTCAGATTATAAGCATTTAATGACTTAACATTCTTGTAAATAAATAAACCTTACACAGATGAGTAAAAGCCTACAACTCCTTTGCTAAATATTTCTAAGAATTACTTAACAACTTATCTCCCCTTTCAGTTGAGATCGCATTTTTTAGGAATAAGTTGGTGGGTGGGGTTAGACAGGAGGACAACATGACCAAAAGCTGTTGATACACAAGAGCTGAAAAATGTTTCCTTTTGCCAACTCATCTGTTTTGCTGGTAAGACTAAGGTTTCCAACGCCTCTCTTCTGAATGCCTTCTTTAACAGATACAGCAGTCCTTACTAATTTCATATGGTAAAAATCAAAACTAAGTTGGAGTTACCATTTTCAGGCACTGTGGCTAGCTTGAAGAACATGGAATTAATAACCTGCCTCCTACAGAGGAGATTAAAAAAGAAGCCAACACACAAGTACTTCAGAAAAGGACTTTTTTGCTGTTTTTTCTTTAAAACACAACGTATAAAGAACACTTGTGGATGAGAAGCCTCTGAAAGTGCTGAATAGTCTTTAAAAGCTGAAAATAAACAGACTATATCTGATTCAAATTAATACATTCTCTTAATTACAACAGAAAGGTAATCAAATCTTTTCTGGAAACCTTCAACAGTGGTGTAACAGCAGGAATGTTAGTACAGGGAGGGCATTAGCATTTTAACATTGCTTTCACTCTGCCTACAGCAGGCATGCTGCACACCAATTCTGTCAGGGCTCAGTTCAGCTCCACATGCACTTCCCACTGCAACTGCTGATGGCTGCAACTACCCCAGTGGGAAGAAGAATAGAGGTATTTGAGGAGAGAAGAAAGAGACTATCAAAAAGGACATGGATGAAAAATGTCCTCCCTCTACAATCATTCTGAAAGCTAATTAAGACTAGAAATGAATGTTGCTCTGACTGAACTGTTTTATGAAATAGTTTGGCTAGTCTAGGATAAACAATGCCTATTTGTCTGGTTTCAGAAAGAGTTCAAATGTGGCTTGGCCCCTATCCACACAGCTAGCAAAGCTGCACCAGGAAACATTTCTATCAGTCGTATTTCACTGTGCTTTCTCAGCAGAAAAGGATTCTAATTTTCCCTCAAAGTGTCCCATCATACTACAGCCTTATCTTTAAGAAACACTTTTAGTTTTAAGTTCCTCTCAGATGTACCCCAGGTTCCTTTTATAATTCATTGCAACTCAAGTCTCTTTCTTCTGTATATTCATTTTTGAAGCTTTATTCTTCTGCTTTTATTGCTATAAATCACTTTATCACTTATTAGATAGGAAGGAGACTGAAGTCTGGTAACGTGGATCTGAAATCTTTTGGAGTGGCAAAAAACTTTCTGTACTCAAAATTAAAGATTTACTGAAGTTTTATAGCAGGAAATTAGGAAATCCGTAAAGAATGCATGTTCAAGTATTAGTAAGAACCCAAAGGAACAAGTTATTTCTTCTGCTGGCAAGAGTGCTTTGACCCATTGCAATCTGCCTTAGAATCTGATGAGCACCTTCAGATATGAGCCACTATTTTTTGCTAGAAACCATAGGTATCATCAGTCAAAAGTTCCAAGTTGTCCACACAACGCAAGGACCAAAAGGGTATAGAAAACTATTTTAAAACAAAAAATGCAAAGCAGCAGCAAAATCCTTTACAAAACCATCCTAGCGAAACTGTAGTATGGATATATCAAGAGCAAGGCAGTTCAAGTATGCAACTATCCGTGTAATTTAGAACCCAGGATAACATGGTTCCATTAGAAAACTCACGAGCTCACAGGCAAAACAAGATGCTAGGAGATATGTTTTCTTGGTTCACATTTAACTTACAAATATTTAAGTCGTTTAAAAACACGAAAATGGGAACAGATTCCCCCCCCCCAAAAAAAAAAAAAATTATAAAAAAAACTCCTGTAAAGGAACTGCAAATTCCATACACTAAACCCCACTAATTTAAGTAAGATGCTGGTCTGGGGGCACGTAGTTATTTTGCCAACACCTTATGCTGAGCTAACCCCTCCCTGTTCCACAGGCAACAATTTCTCGCCTCTTGTTCCGTCTTGCAAAGAGAGAAATTAGAAGGTTAGCAGTATCCTCCTCTGTTCCACAGTTAATGACACATTTTTTCTCAAACCATCCAAATAATTAACCAAATCAAATTTAATTCCCTGTTTGATGAAGTAGGAGCTGCAACAATTACTCCACTATATGGAGTCCCTGCCTCTTTCCCACCTCCTCCTCCTGTCCATAAGGCACAGCAATGAACCGGGGCACACATAAAATCCCCACAAACACACATGTTACGGAAAAACAAAGAGGAAAGAAGTTTAATTCATGTGAGACCTCTGATCCTGGTCCCAATGCAAATCCCAGGCAGTTATATCAGAACACCTGAGGTGACAGTGTGACAACAGTCCCTGGCGGGATGGGGGGGACGACACAATAGCTCCTATGCCTCCCTCCAATATACATAAGCAAAGTCCAAACTCATACTGCTGGAAGAAAACAGTAGAGAGAACAAGAAGTTTCAGAGCATTAAAGGCTCTGATAAACATTAGCTTCAACACCACCTCAGCCATATTGAATATGGAATAAGATGCAAACTACTCATCCATCGCCACAAAGGATTTAGCATGCGGGAGTGGACAACCAGAGCAATTCCGTGGACATCTGCACATTTATCCTAGACCTCGCTCACTTTTAATTTAAAGCACAAACTTGGTTTCATTTCCCACTAAGGCAGCAGCTTGTTGAGCTTCACTTGCCAGCCCCTCAAAAAGGGGGTACTAACCCACCTCTGTTGTGCCCTCTGTGCACCCAAGCAAGCCCACTCAACAGGTTCAGAGGAGATCTGTAAGCTGCTGTACCTATTAAGCTGAAAGCAGCTAGGTACTTTGAGTCTGCAGTAATATGAAAAAGGTCCCATGGGTCACCATTTCTGAAAGATAAAGAACCTGGAGTGGTTTGTTTGAAGTTGTTAGACACCTGCTCACTCTTCCTGGCAGGCTTTACTCTGGGTTTCAAGGACAGATTTTCTAAATATAAACACTTGAGGAGAACACTTCAAAAACATCTTTCAGGTCTGTATACTGGGGAAATAAATTTGCCACCAAATAGACTGGGTAAAGAGCTGTAAACTATTTAGTCGAGTAAGTGCACTTAATTGTGTATAAACCATGGTCTCTTCCTCATTAGGGGCTCTGCTCTGACACTTTACTTGCACTGAGCAGTGTCTCTCATCAAACACAACTCCAGTGTAGCTACAGTATTTCTCAAAGGCCTGTTCCTGCAGGATGACTCCTGACCTAACACAGCAGTGTGTGAGTATCACTCTCCTGAACAGTCCCCACACAGCAGAGGAAGGGAGGCACTGTTTGAGTGGAATAAAGCTCAAATCCCACAGGCATCTCCCTGTGAGCAGGCAGGGATTTGTGTGTGCCTGGAGCAAGGCAGCATTCAACCAAGGAAAGAGGTCAGGAGGTTCTGGGTTACCTCTTCACTCACAGGTCTTCTAGCTGTTTCAGGAGCAGTAGTGGCTCCAGCCCAGCCGAGGGCATCTCATGGACCAGTCAGCTCTGCTGCAGAGTGCAAACAGGCAGAGGAGGCCTCGGCTTTACCTGCCTCTAGAGAGCACAGGCAGTACTGCCTTCTGATTGCTCCCTCCAGCCCCTGAGCATAGCCATATAAAAGGTGGGGTGTCTCCCTAGGTCATCTACAGCCTTCTACCCCCTAGGTTGTGGTACTGCCTGGGATACAAGACACCCCAAGCTACAATCCTGTCTCAGCATCTCTCCTTCATCCACTTTCACTAGTCTCCTATTGGCTTGCATGTGATTCTCAGCAGGAATTGAGCAATCCTCCAGAATGCCTGCTCCTTTTATCAGAACCAGGACCTTTGGTTTCTTTATCATTGACATAACAACGAGTTCTACAGGAAAACTGATTTTATATATCACTCTAGTCATACACAAAAGCCTAGTGGGGAAAAAAGAGAGTGAAAAATAAGGAACAGTTGTTCTAAAAATGAATGCACTGAACTATCTGCTGCCAAATCTCAAAATTTATCTTTCATGTCATGTTATACAAAGCTTTTCTAAAGTATTGTTCCTTAAGTTCACATACCTGTGTAAAAGCTTTTAAACATAATTTTAATTGTCATGGATATAGATCTTGTCTTATACACAGCACACAGGGTAAAGAAAGTTCAAATGTTTCTATTCTTACTGTCTTGTGACTTCTTGGAATGTGAGCCAGGGATTTTTAAATTGCTGATGTTGAAATGACTGTGAGGCAAAACACTAGTTTAAGAAAAGGCATCAAATATTCCCCTCAGTTGCTTTAGAAATCGTGCCATCTTTGTAACAGGCAGTGTACTACAGTGTAACACTTAAAAACCTTATTAGAAGACATTATTCCAAACACAAAATATTTAAAATGTCACCTAAATGATGATTTCACTGCAAGCTGAGTCACAGAAAAATATTAGTAACCTTATAGTTACATTAAGGGTGGTGCAGAAGATCAGATTTATCACCGCCCTGACAGTGGGCCGAAAACAGACGTATTAGTTCAACTAAAAAGCTCACAAAGTTAGGACAGAAGAGTCACAGCTATCTCATGTTCATGATGTGGATACAGTAGACAGAATTG